CCCGTTAGTGAAGAAAAATTAGAAAGAAAAATCATAGGAAAGGCCCTATGTAGAACCCCTGCTGAACTGAGGTTGTACGTGCTCAAGGCGAAGAGAAGGTGCGGTCGCACGAGTTCTCACTTGTTGATATCAGCTGTTTTCCCTTATCACCTCACTCTCACCACTCGACGTGGAGAGAAGCAGCAGCGAAACAACCGCACCATCAGATAACCATTAGGAATGAATGGAGGGCGGTGCCAATGATTGTAGGTTGGGCCAATGAGAAGAACGACGGCATCGTGGGCCTCCTCACTCGTTTTTGCGCCGCGAAAGTGGTGTAGTTGTTGCCTCTGCGGACCTGACTACCTGCTCACGAAGGGAGAGGAAAATCTCAACTGAACGCTGCCTTTAAGCTAAAGGAGGGAGCGCGCCTATATATACCCATTACGGAGAAGGTTCTAGAATGTTCTACCACTACCACATGGTAGATCATTGGTATCGATCAAGAATCGAAAGTTCTGGAACTTTCAAAAAGCCCTATCAAATCCTTTTGATCTACCTGATACTACCGTTTCTACTGCACTGCGAGTTATGGAATGACAAAACTCCGCAGAAATTATACGGAGGTGATTCAGGGTTTCTTATTCATAACTGATCAGTGCTTCTCAACGTGGAACCATTAACTAGTCCGGACTCACGTTATTGTCGTCTCCTTGAAGGGTTTCTGACACACTTTGACGATTCGATCGAAACCTCAAGCCATATTGAATAAGTGTTCTACCGGTTTAGGATGTTAAAGAGTCTTCCATTTTGAACTGTGTTGAAGTAATAGCGCAAAAGTCATCGATATAGGCACTGATCTTTCTACTGTGGTCATGAAGCGGATAGCTGGAACCGGAGCCAGTCGTTGGCTTATCGCAATCCCTCTATTTTGTGAGAAGTATTGTCCGCTCTACCTAAAATTGTTACAGCATAAGCATTCCCTTACCAGTGTCATGATGTGTCTCTTGCGCAATCCAAAAGTCATAACTTCCGCACAATGTTCATCCTACATCTCGGAAAAGGGCTCGGGAATCTAGAAATCCTCTGGTATTGGGTGAATGTGACGGTGACTATCGTAAAGACTTGACCAACACTTTTGGTGAGTTGTGAGAGATGGAGATTGCGCACATGGAGGGCTTGCATACCAGTATCTATAGTGTACCGACTGGTGCCTGAACTGTATGGAATTTATATTGGGACGGGTAAGACGTAAGGTATACGCGTCAGAGAACACCCATCAGGTGAAAGACTAAAGTGCCTCCTCAGTCCCCTTGGTAAGGCCCGCATAGAATAACATGAAGGCAGCAATTTTGGTATTCAATGTAATATTCTTGCCTAAGAGACCCGATATCCATGCTGGAAAGACTTTGGAGGCGTTTTATATTCCCACAAGAAGGCGGAGGCTGAACAACCAGAATGAGTGCATTGCCATCACAAGTGATTTCCATGTCTTTTACTGCCTTGTGTGGTTGGATCACCACGGATTGCACGTATGAAAGTCTATGGGTGCAGCTGTGGTTAGTGTTTCCTCTATTGTTCATGCGCTGAGCAAGGAACTTCAAAGCTCGTGAGAATATGTTGAGGAGGTTGGTTCATTGCCGATGGATTTCTTATGTGGGACTACAGGGATGTGCTGCAACTAAAATGTTTACACTGAGATTAATGGACTATGTTGTAAAATCTAATAAATGAGAATTATTGAGGGGGGGGGCGGGAGTCGGAAAGCAAAGAGATAGCTCAGCTTCTCGTTTCGCACGTGCCTGTAGACGGAATGCCGGCAGCAAAAGATATTCCTACCATTCCGTGCCTTTCAGTAGGGAAGCGCCAAAGAAAAAAAACAGATTGACAGCAAGTTTATAAGGAATAAAGTTGAAAACGATAAAGACTGAGAAGTTTAAGAATGCTGATTGATTGGTCAACGTGAATAGGACATCGTGATTACAAAAAACAGACTTCACTCGTTGGCTACATTATAAACTATCCGCATTATCAACGGACAACAATGCAAGGTAAAAAAAGAACATTGGTTACATAGCACCATTTTATAAAACTAGCTGGTATGATGGTCGCATTGACTTGCGTAAGTTACAAATAAGATTACGAAGCACTTTAGGATGCTGAAGACGACGATCTTACGAAGACGTTGCGGTTCCACCAAATAACGAACCTAGTTGCACGCGATAAGAACATTGTCTGAAGTACGACCTCAGGTGTTCAAGCTAACCAGGTTGGGGGTTCTTTTCGTTCGAGGTAATATCTAAGTGAACAAGTCGAGAGTATGTGAACATTTGCTTACAAACGGGAATCCTTGTGACAGATCGTCTCGTGGAAGTCTGATTTCGTTACCAGTTCTCATGCTTGTTTACAGCATAACTTTCATTTTACATAGGTGCTCCTCAGACGACACAACAAATGCCACAAATCCTAAACGCTTTCACAAAAACTTTACTTCTGTTGACGCTAACAGTACCATTTCTCAGTTCTTTTGAAACATTGCGGTATGCCTCTCGACAAGTTTCTCGTCAGCATTAGAAGACCATACTAGAATGTCACTTTCGCGTACATGCGCCCATCGATCCGACTCTTCACGCAAAGGTGTTGGGGAAATGTAACTTTCAGATACGCTTCACCTTGCCAAGGCAATCTCTTTCTGCGGAAGTCAGAAGTCGAGATGCAATACTGACTGTGTCTTATGTCATTAATTCGTGCGTGACTTCACCTGCCGAGGACACACGGTACTTCTTGTCACGGCGCTTCCTCAATCCATAGAGCTCAGCATCCAGAGCGGTGGAAAGGCGGCGACGTGCCGCGGACTTTCGTACGACTCTTTATGGCGGGCGTGGCAGTCCTGGCGCGTTTGGCGGATGGAATGTTCGAGAGTCGCTAGGGATGCAGAGTCGGCGTCGACCCTGGCCTCGCCTATCACTTTCTACGTCCCTACAGCTTCTCGGACTGGTCGCTCCTCCCGCCCACTTTCAAACGTCTTCGCGCCATCCCACGTTGCCAGTTCGACATAACGTCCCGCTACTAGGCAAGGGACTGCACACCAACAGGCCGCGAACCTATCCCATGGTAACCACATAGAGGCGGAGCGTGCATCCGAACACCTAGGGCGAGGGGGAAGATGCGTCCCAATGCCCCTAGTGGCCCGTAGGTAATCGAGGCAGGGTTCATTCTCGTAGGTTAGGGCCTTACCATTACATTTTTAGTAGTTCCTTTTCTTGTTATTGTTTTGTAGTTATTATGTTAGCTAAGTAAACTCCCAACTTTTAATGATGTCTCTGTGTAATTGTGTGGCCAACAGCGGCTTAGCCGACGACATATCTGAAAACGTCTATCTATTAAGTTATTGGATTGCTATGTGGTTTTGGTTAAGTGCGATGCGTATGGAGTGCAAGTCGGACGGATCATGAGCAGGGTAACTTAGGTCAGGCGCTGGATAAGTCCTAGGTTTTGGAACCGGTAAATCCAGGTACGTGACCGTATGTAGCGGCCACGCAAGGGGCAGTAAGAACCGCGGGACGCGGGATAGCAAGCATAGCACCCGCGTACGGCAACACCGTTGCGAATGCGCAGGCACACCCATATAGTCCCTTGCACAGTACCCGCGCTCGGCACAGGTGATTCAACTCGCATCCACGAACGATGCTAAGGTCAGAGGGACTGACGACCTGCGTAAGAGTCAGCAGTATGGGGGAAGCGATGCCCTCACGGACGAGCAGGAAGGTCTAAGCTACCTGATGTACAAAATTCCCATCAGTTCCCATCCATCAGCGAAAAGTAGACACTGTGACGAAAGCGTTGTCGTGGTATTCGAAAGGTCGGGCCAGTCAAAAGGTGAATAGTGTCTTTTTGTTTCTCCAACTAAGAGGAAGATTGCAGTATGCCTTGCAGTATGTCCGATGCGCACAACTTTGGTTTTTTTCTAAAAATAGGGAAACGAACTTATCACTTCTCGACCATTCTGCTACCTTGTGGATCCCCTGCTGATGACAGTCACCATTTCCAATTACCTTGTATTTCCATATATCGTCAGTATATGTACTACAACGATTTCGAAGTTCAGGTGGGAGGATCTCAGCTCAGTCTAGGTCAAATTCATCGACACCACAGTAGAGATGATCCCTTCACAGCTGCTGCGGGAGGATTGACCCTCAGAAAAGGAGATTGAAGCTATATGAAACTGACAGTCGGATAATGCTGTTATGAATAGCTGTCAAAATCTGAGAATACTTCAAACAGCACTGTGATGCAAAGTACCGGCAGAGCTCAAACAAATGTGTAAGCACGATGATTCGCTTTTCTAGAGTGCTTCAAATGTACTGGAAGAAACTTTATACAATCATCACCAGTACTGAAAAAACCGAAAAAAGTGAAGAAGTGTAACAGAATCGTCTTGCAAATTCCTTGCACTAAACACTAGAAACGCGTATAATCATCAGGCTGAACTGGAAGTATCACAAAAATGAAAATGGCTCTCGAGGAGGAGTCACAAAGCAGGTCGAGGCACACTGAGTTCGGAGTGAGGACACAGTCAGAGGGCTCACAGCCCTCTCCCATTCCTACTTCGTAAAGCTTTGCACCTTTGGGAACCCTAAAAACTCCACTCCAGAATAAGTTCTAAACTATAACTTTGGGCATATTTACTGTGAAAAATGCACATTTTCGCATGGTATGGTTCCATAGAATAATAAGAGAGAGAGGTCAACTTACTCGGCGTTATAGACGCACACGAACACGACCCCTTCCGCTCTTCCGTACCAGTCAGAGCACTGCTTGTAATCGCAGCCGACTTGATATATTCCGGAATAGATCATCTATAAAATGTTCAACGATAAAAAGTGTTTGGCACATATGATATCGCAAGAATAGCAACATACATTAGCAAATGTGTACAATCTCGGATCGTCGTACTTCAGACTTGAGAGGCCATAAATTTCAACCGGCAAAGCCCATTGCCTCGCAGCGAACTCCATGAGCTCAAATTTCCTCATGAAGCTGATAAGATCCTCGTTTTCCAAACTGGAAATATCAACTGTATTCAGGCTGTTCTGCTAAGGTGGTCATTTTCCACTTCTGCTCGTTCCTTTTGCAAGTTCATGTTAGGCAGCGTTCATACTTGTAGCGCTACAGCGTCGCGCTACAGCGTCGCGCTACAGCGTCGCGCTACAGCGTCGCGCTACAGCGTCGCGCTACAGCGTCGCGCTACAGCGTCGCGCTACAGCGTCGCGCTACAGCGTCGCGCTACAGCGTCGCGCTACAGCGCTACAGTTGTACCGAACTCCAGCTTTTATGTTTTTTCTTTCTATATCATCCTCTTCTCTTTGTTTCTCATATTTATCTGATAGTGAGCTCCTGTTTTCTACTTTATCACATTTTAATGTAGTTTTTGATACAGAAGACTGTGATAATTGGTTTTATTTATCGTTTTTGACTTTAATTATTTGGTTTCACAGTTGCTTGATGTTTGATGGCTTTGCTTGATGTCTTGCAGTGCTGCCTCGTGTTGATCCCGATTGCGAAACTACATTAAAATAGAAAACAGGAGCTCGACGCTAGGAATAATATGGAGAAAGAAGAGGTAAGAGGATTGAGGAGCAGAAAGACTGATATACAGGAATGCATGCGCTTGATCGGAGTGTGAGAAATCTGTCTAGAGTTGGCAGAGAGCTCTGCCAAGGGGAGTGAAGGGGGGGTTGGAAAAAGAAATTATGGCCGGTTCGAGGCATTTCACGCGATGGTGAGACAAGAAAGCTGGACAGTTTCTTGTAGCTTATTTGGACCCGTCAGGAGAGTTATGCAGTATGTCCGCAGTTATGGGATTTGTCGGGCAGCGAGGAGAGAGAAATGGCCTGATCGGTCCGCGAAGACAGCAGGGCGGGGGGATGGGGGGGCGAAGACTGTCTGGATCGGAGAGGCGTTAGCAGAGAGTGCAAAGAACGCAAGTTTCCTTTATGTATCTTGTGTCTACCGGTAAAAAAAAAAACATAATGCGTGCGTGCGGTTGTGTGTGAGGAGATGACGCGAGTAGCTCGTTGGTGTGAGTGTGTGCCAGAAATTGCGGCGCTTGAGAGGAGAGAGAGAGCTAGAGAAGCGAGATACGCAGAAAGAATAGGAGTGTATGTCAAATGAAAAGTGGGTGCGGAAAGAATGTCGGAGAGAGTAAGTGAATGAGAAGAAAATGTGCAAATATGATCAAAATGAATCGTCGAGAATGAAAGATGTGCAAAAGATGCAAAATGAGTGACTAAATTTGAAAAATAGTGACTATACTGTCAAGATGGCAGATATACCGCTGTATCAGTCTCACCTTTCCCGTGAATTTCTCAAGAATCAGCAACCTTCCCAACTTTCTCTGTAACTTTTTGTTGGTATACTTGCGATGCGAACTCAATCATCCTAACAGTTGGAAATTGGTCAGTACTGGTTGCGCAAGCGGCGCTGTAAGCGAGCGGACGCACTTAGCGCGCGACGGGCTAAGGAGAGCAAATATGAACGCCTGGCGGGTGTGTATGAGAGTTTGGCCGATAAGTAATGCGGTTTAGTTCTTTTGCCGATTGAAAAATCTTGTTCCACAAGTGACAACGGTTTTGGCAAGCCAGCTTAATGATGGTTTACAATAGCAAACTTTCGTATATTATACAGAGAGAGAGCGCGTCGGGTGAGGGAAGAGTGTTTGGAGTTGTTGGGTGTCAGTCGTTGAAGTTGAAAGTGAAGTCGGCGAAAATTAGCACCTTCGACAACTGCCTCTATTTAGAAATTTCATGCTAATAGTTGAATTAATTGAATTTGAATTTGATATTCTAATACTACGAGAAGTTTGGCTATCAAAACGATATTAAGCTTGCTTGAACAGTTCAACTTTAAAACAAATTTTTCGATTGAAGAAAACGGCCATTACTTATTAGCCAGCCCACTAGCAGTGGGCTGGGTAATATTAGGCTGGCTAAGGCTATTAGAAGTGGGCTGCCTAATATTAATATTAGGTTGTTGCATAAGTTCTTATACACGACTTTTTTGTAAATATCTCAAAACGAACCAGCCTGGAGATTAGAGGTATGCACCATCACCATCCACTACTCGACGCCAGCTTGTCGATTCCATCCTTCCAGAACGACGGAGGCTGGGACTTGAAGAAGTCGTCGAGCGCCTTTCTGACCTGATCCTTTGTTTCGAACTTTTTTCCGTCCAGATAGCGCTGCAGGTGGCTGAACAGCCAGTAGTCAGAAGGAGCGAGGTCAGGGCTGTAGGGAGGGTGGGCGACCATCAGCCATCCGTACTTCTCCAGCTCGGCCTGGGTCGCCTTTGCAGTGTGAGGTCGGGCGTTGTCATGGTGGAAGTAGATTTCCGCATTCCTTCCACGAGCAATTTCCGCAGCTGGGTCACGTATGTGGAAGCGTCAATCGTCTGTCCCTTCTCCAGCAGCTCCCAGTACTCCATGCCTCTTCTGGACCACCAACAGGACAGGAGAACCTTTTTGGGGTGAAGGTCGGCCTTTGGGGTGGCTTCTGGCTGTTCTCCTTTGTCGACCCACTGCCGCTTCCTCACAGGGTTATCGTAGAGGACCCACTTCTCATCTCCAGTGATCATCGAGTTGAGAAAGTGAAGCCTCTTTTGGAAAGTGAGGAGAGAAGTGCAGGTGGTCACCCTCCTCGAGAGGTCATAAGCGGACAGTTCATGTGGGACCCATCGTTGTGGGACCAAGCTTTGTTACCTTGCCGAGCTTTTCTAGTCCACGTGCAAT